CCCCAAAACCCCAAAACCCCAAAACCCCAAAACCCCTTTATTAACTTTATAAGTAGAAAGTTAAATAAATTAGATTCCATCTAGAAATCTGATCCTGATAAGTTCTTCATTGGAACTGCATTTGATTGTGGTTTACTTAAATCTGATTTTTCACGAAGAAGTTTTAGCTGCTGCTCAGCCTTCTTCATTTCTGTCTGATAATCTGAGTCTGTAAATTCATCATTAGAATCGGTGAAGCTGGACATTTTATTTGATGCACTACTTTCTTCACTTTCTGATTTAGCTTCTTCAATGACGTTATTTTCTATTCTTTTTATATTTCCTAGCATTCTTTCATGGTACTCTTCTATCCGTGATTCCCAGGTTTCCCTATTTTTCTTCATGTTTTTGATGTTTTTAGTAAGTCATTTTCAAAACACACTGAAGGCATTAAAAGCTGGGTTAACGATTACATCAATGAAACCCAGCTGAGCTTTAGCAATGTTGACTGTGCTTCGGTCCATGAGGTCACTTATCTTAAGGCCCATGTCTCTTTCCTTATCTCCTTGCTTAAAGAACTCTTCGAATAGGAGCTCTGTCCATTTGAGTGTGAGTTCCCAAGCTTTGGTTGGATTACTAATATCTGCAAGATGAATTCCTACCCCCATTCATAACAGCTTATCTTTATCATCTGGCTCAAAATTCTCAGAAGTAGATTTTTGCTTAAAATTGCCTAGATCTGAAAAATGTTTGCTCATATCAGTAGAAAGGACCATATGGATCATCCTTTGCCTGATGCCCATAGCATCGTCAGGTGCAAGTTTACTAAAGATATTATATTTTTCCAATTTCATTAATGCTGAGGAAGAAGCTATGTGATGGTTTTCCAAAACTCCGATATCATTATATCTCAAAGCTAATGTATCTTTTGAGTTAATTAAAAACATATTGTTTAAGCCAGGATGCTCATAATCATGAACTGCAGCTGCGAGAATCATGGATCAGATATCTATATTATCCAATTTTCCTAATGTTATCCAGTTTCCGTTAATTATGAAATAGTACAGAGTCTGGCAAACATCAGCTGCATGAGTGTCATTATGATATCGAACACTCTTATTGTAACCAGAGGTTATCTTATCCATGAATACAAGAAATTTGTTAATAGATATATGTAAACCGGAATATAGCGAATGCTTGTGAAGAAGCAAAGAAGTCAATGTCGTTAACTCCCTATTCTTTGTTTTTTCTTTGAAAGCAAACATATTGAACTCCATTGTGTCTAAACTTTCCATCGTCTCAGTTAAATTTCAATTCAAATTAAGCAGAGATTCTAAACTCCGATTATCACCAGCAGCCATTATTATTGTCCCAGAGTCATTTGAATCTCTTTTTAAGTTAATAATTCTTGTTGCTGAGCGGATCCACGCTGTCTCCTCCATCTGTAGGATAGCCCCTCTTCTCCTTCTTAAGGATTTAACTTCTTCGGTTTCCATGTCTACTTGCTCAACTTCATACAGCTTTCCACTAGCAATTTGCTTAATACAAAAATGGAGGTCATTATAAATCTTAGGTTCCTCGATGATATCGCTGATCTGTAATAAAGTCTCAACTACCCTTTCAGCATTTGGCTTCTCTTTTTCATCTTTAGTCTCCATTATGCTAAGACTTTTCTGTAGTCTATGATAAGACTTCATGCTTTCCAAGATAACAGGGACGTGGAGGAGCCTCATGACTCCTCTAGTCCTTAGGAGGACACTGACACAGTATTCTTCTACGAAAATATCAGTGACCCAGAATCACACTATTATCCCTGTCAAAACCAGGTTAATGATGTTAAACTTGTTATGGAGATACAGTTCCTTGAACGCATATTTATAGAAGATAATTTCCAAGATGAACAAGACTATGAACACAGACTCTACTGAGTGATAAATTATCCTAACCAAGTCATCATCAAGCCCTTTGTCTACAGCCATGAATAAAAAAGTGAGTAAGGCATAGGTTATTATAAGCACTACGATTCCTGCATTTATCCAGTTTTGCTGAAGAGTCATCGCAAGGCTTTTCCTCTTGCCCACAATATTCCTATCCTCCAGTTCATCTGACTGGAGACTCATATAATGCCGCTTAGGTTGGATGACAACAGGACCATGTTCTAGGTTGAGCTTAATAGAGATTCTCTTCTCACTTTTTACAGATTTGTTAATTTCTCTTTTTATTAATGCCCATATTAGGTCCGCTTTCCATTGAATTTTGGGAGGAATTTCCTTCAGGTCAGTTCTTCGAACTAGATGATTTCTTAAGGATTCCCCATTTAACTCTGTTTTGGTTAAGGCTGTACCTTCTTGGAGCTATACTCATCTTTGGTAGGAAATAATGATATAAAATTAGTTTTAGCAAATTATTATTCAACAAGTTCATTATTCTCTGGGGTTTTGGGGTTTTGGGGTTTTGGGG